TAGGCAAAAGTGCCTTTTACCAGAACTCACACTACCCTGAACCAAAAAATAAATTGTATGGTTCTTTACTAGTTACTGGCCAGTCATTTTTTTCTAGGATTTTTTTTCCTTAAATTCTGTATTTTTTCAGTTCATGATTTTGATCCTATATACCTAGGTTAGTGTTTTTCTGCTCAATCCTGTTTTTTATTCAACTATGGAGTTTTTAAATATCTGAAACATTGCAATGCAGATTCATCTGTGAAAAGCTACAAAGCCTTTACTTTTGTGTGTGCACGCTGTGTATTGTGTTGTCTGTCTATGTGTGCATGCATCCATATATCATGTACATGATAGCAAAATTGGAATATAACAAGTGCCCATAAATTTTAAAAAAATAGATCCAAATACCTTTAATTCACATGATTTAAGAAGGCTAAATTTAAAGTAAAGATGTCTTTAAAATTACTTAACTCACAAGTCTCTCTAGGTAGTCAAAAAACACTAATAAAATATTGATGTCTACAAAAAGTCTAATATTCATAATTTCTAGACTTTTCTTCAACAAGGGAGAGATGGCTAATATTGTTCAATACACTGTCTGATGCCTTGGTTTTCACAGTAAAAATAAATAAATTAGATTTGACATGGGATTACTCATAAATGTGCCTGTTAGATATATGGTTAACTTACCAAGTTAAAATTCTAACTGTTAAATACAATATCAAGTACTCTCAACTCCTTGAATTCCATTGGGTAACATTGTTGGTGTTTTCATAAATTGGTAAATTTAAAAAAAAAAGATTTTAAAATTGCTTTGTCATCAGCGAAAATAGGTTATTAAGATTTCAAAGTCCCAACAGGTATAATTCTATATACTTAAATATTGTTTATGTTTTCATAAAATGATAAACAGATGTGATTCTGTATACAAAGGGACCCAAAAGTTTCACCTGTGTTTTGATTAGTGACTGTGTTGTGACCATGACTTATATATATAGTTGAAGGTAATTTTATACAATAGTTTAATTTTTGCTTAGGGTACTATAAATAACATAAAGTATTTCTTCTCATTAAAGTGGAGTAATTTGCCTAAATTCAGAAATTTACAAGGGTTGTTTCAGAATGTGAA